GACACCTGAAACCAGAAGCATAAGCTGCAAAAGAAGGTAACAGACACTGAAAGAGGCCACGGTTGCTTCAACATCTTCCTCGTATTGATCATGTTATTGTACACAAGCGCTGGCTCCTCGACGGCACAAAATTTGAATTGCCAATGGTTCCTAAAGTACTTGTTCTAACACAAAGAGTAGAGAACAATCCATTTTCAACAATCAGAAGCATGTTTCTGGGGTAGATTCCATTAATAGCATTGATGTTAAGGATGTTGATGCATGTGGAATATTTCCAGTTAGATTTTAGTCACACATTTACAACTTCAGCATTAAGACTACGTTGACTTCAGATGGCTGCCACTTTTCTAATTTCCCACGTGCAGTGAGCTCAATGCTTTGACAAGTGACATCCACATTGAATATTGTTATTATTATATTGAGCAGTTTAATTTAGAGTTTGAAATATTTATCTACAATTCTAGATACTCATCCCATGGCTTTTCCAATTTAAATACTTTTTCTTGTTCACAATATCAAAAGGATGGAGTGGACTAACAATAAAGCTACATAAATTTAACTACTAAACTTCTTATAATATTCCAAGAACTTTTTTCATTTTTGATACAAGCGATGAAGGCCTATCTGCAAGTTGAATCAGTCAAAGGTGACGTCATATTGGAATGGATATTTTCATGGTCAACATAATCATATCAAGATAATAATTATATACAAGTTGGGTACATAATGCCTAGTGACATTTTGTATATAGGACACGTGGATTGCACTTGAGGCTTATGGGTTGGTTCATAATGCCAACTGTTCTCCCTATATATACACTCATAAAGAAATAAATAATTTTTAACCAGAGTGTTTTTACTATGCAAACAGGGAAACATTGCTTTTGAATGCATCTTTGAATTACATTTTCAAAGACGAAAACTAGCAGTTTATCATTCAAGCCAACTTCAAGAGAGAGAGAGAGGTAGGTACCTTAGAAAGGGTTTGCAGTAGATTTCTGAGGTGATGAGATATTGAAGCAGGGAGACAGCAGCTGAAGCAAGAAGCAGCAAATTGGTATCTGTCAAATTGGTGATGGGAGATGGCGGCTAGCTTCCCCCACCACTGATTCCGAAACTTATCATCTCTCTCTCTCCTAACAATATGAGAGTGAAAGGGAGGTTTCTCCCACTCACTTAACGGTACGAGAGAGACAGAGAGGGTAGAGTCCATGTCAATCTGTCAAATTCTTCAAACCATCAATATTTGTTTATTCAACAACTAGCCTCACAGCTTTGTCCTTTCTTTTTCTTAAACAAAAAATATATATTATTATTATTATTAAAGGAATTGAACCTAACCATGTCCATGTCTATCTGTCAAATTCTTCAAACCATCAATATTTGTTTATTCAACAACTAGCCTCACAGCTTTGTCCTTTCTTTTTCTTAAACAAAAAATATATATTATTATTATTATTAAAGGAATTGAACCTAACCATGGACCACTAGACCACTAGTGGGCTAATTGAGCCACTCAAGTGGGTCTTCATTTTTTTGAGATCAATTGTATATGGTTAATGAGCAATATGATTGGCATAGTTGTTCTATATCAATCTCCACTTTGGTACAATTTGCAATTTTGTGAAGAAATTGAATTGAGAATGAATTCGAATGCGAAAGGGTTTAGAGTTTAGAAGAATCATAATTGGAGAGCTATTAAAAATTATCTTCCTTGTAGATCTAATCTGTTGAAAAGAAAGATGATTTCTGATGATGCTTGCCCCATTTGTAATGTGAATTATGAGACTATAATTCATGCTTTGTGGAGTTGTCCTAATGCCCAAAAAGTTTGGAAAAAAGTGTTGTTCAGGGAGGTCTTTACAGGGTTACATTTTTCCAACTATGGGGAT